ATCAAGATAAAAATAATAAGAAAAAAGATATAATAAAAAATCTTATCATTATACTTCATTAAGGTTAAGTTCTGCTCGAACTTTAAGGTTGTACTGGCACCAATGCAGTTTATTGAATTGCTATTTAATACTTATAGAAGGGAATATAAAGATTATACAAATTTAGTCCATTTAATACCTGTTCATCTTGAGGTATGAGTGATTGGCGCATGTCTGGTATGGACGAAATTTTTCTTGTTGATACGTGTAGGTACCTGTACGCTGACCTTTGGCAAAGTTTCGCAATCGTTATAATTATATATTAACAAACAAATCGCCTGGTATGTACGGTAATTTACTTCAGTTCGGCAGTTTATGTAAAGGATTTTACCTCGAATTTTATTTCAGTAACTTCTGGTGTGCCTCAGGGGTTTCATCTTGGCTTCTGGGTTTTCAAGTTCTTTTCAAACAATGTTACCGATTGATTTCAATCCTACATGAAGATGATAAGAAAATTTTCACACTAGTCAAATTCATTCATGATCGTGGTACTGTGCAGGATGACTATTTTCAACTCGAGGTTCATGATGTATTGTTTAAAGTTAAATATTGATAAATGTAATTTGATATCTTTTACCAAAAATAAAAATAATAATATAAATCCATTATTTATGACAAAAAAATAAAAAGGAGGTCGAAACACGAAGACGAAATGCAGTTAGACGGAAAGTTGCTGTTATCTTCGCACGTGGGAAATATATTATATACTATATAATACTAGGCTCTATATTGTGATGTAACAATAAGTTTAATAATCCGAATAGTATATTATTATCTTTCATAAAACCAAATTATTTATTTACCCGTAGTTTAATTATCAAGCAGTTTAGTAGATCCGGTAGTTTGTCCCATCATCCTAGGTCGTTGCATGTTATTAGACTAAAATTGATCCGAAATACGCTTAGCCCTGGAAGCAGCGCAAGAAGAAGTTACATTAGAAGATATTCCTGTATTTGGGAAGAACCTTCACGCTGACTAACCGCAAAGCTGGCTGCCTATACTTCGTAAGGGCTTTAAGAGGTGAAAGACAAAACTTTAAAAGAATACAATGTTCCTGAGAACTGTCGGCTTCTACAAACCCCAAGCTTAAATCTGGAATTCACTGAAGCTGATACTGATATAGTTCTGCCGAGATATAAGAAGATGGAGATTAAACAAGAACAAATGGGTTTGAGAATAATAAAAAGCATTGTTAAACCTCTCTGCAGAATTATGTAATATCCACTAAGTAGAAATCCAGACACGTAAATTTATAACGCCTTGTTGAGATTCTTCGTTAACGTAGCACAGAGTGAAAAACGTAATTATTTGGTTTTTAATGAGGCCCAATAATTAGAATACGTCAATCGGGTTAGTTTACTACCTTTTGGCTTCCGGTGCTCTCCACCCGCGGCTTCACTCCAGTGCTCTCAGAAAATTTACTTAATAACGAAGGTTTCACTCTTGACCAGAGTAAAAAACGAAGTGCAGCCGCAAAAAAGGAAGCCGGGTCTCACTCGTCACTTACGTCTCTTAACACCAGTTGATTAATAAACTTTATGTTTATCAGATTCATTCTGCATAGAATATGTTTTAAAATCAAAACTTTCTTTTAATGTTAATAAAGAATACAAGGAATACGATTAAGTATGCGTTATAATTCGTCTCTTCTTTCAGCTCAAAAATAAGTAAGTATGAGCTTTTTAATAAAAGTAACAATGCACGTTTAAAAATAATATTTACAACATCAGTTAAGATTCGCAACAGATGGGATTTACAAGACGTATCCTTCTAATTAAAGCCAAAATTGGGATCTACATGACGTATCATCCCCCGAAAAGTCAAACTTAGGATTTACAAAACGTATCCTACCAATAAAAGCTAATATTGAGATTTACAAGACGTATTCCATCAATAAAAGCCAAACTTGGGATTTACAAGACGTATCCTACCAATAAAAGCCGAACTTGCAATTCGAAAGACGTACCCTCCCACTAAAAGCCAAACTTGGGATTTACAAGACGTATCCCACCAATAAAAGACAAACTTGGATATTACAAGACGTATCCTACCACTAAAACCAAACTTGGGATTTACAAGACGTATACTACCTATAAAAGCCAAACTTGGAATTTACAAGACGTATCCTACCAATAATAGCCAAACTTGAGATTTATAAGACGTATCCTCCACTAAAAGCCAAACTTGGGATTTACAAGACATATACTACCTATAATATCCAAACTTGGGATTTACAAGACGTATCCTCCCACTAAAAGCCAAACTTGAGATTTAAAAGACGTATCCTCCCACTGAAATCCAAACTTGGGATTCACAAGACGTATCCTACCCATAATATCCAAGCTTGGGATTTACAAGACATATCCTACCTACCAAAAGCCAAACTTGGGATTTACTAGACGTATCCTCCCACTAAAACCCAAACTTGGAATTTACAAGACGTAACCTGCCAATAATATCAAACGTAGGATTTACAAGACGTACCCTCCCACTAAAAGCCAAACTTGGGATTTACAAGACGTATCCTACCTATAAAAGCCAAACTTTGAATTTACAAGACGTATCCTACCAATAATAGCCAAACTTGAGATTTACAAAACGTATCCTCCCACTAAAATCCAAACTTACGATTCACAAGATGTATCCTACCACTGAAATCCAAACTTGGGATTCACAAGACGTATCCTACCAATAATATCCAAGCTTGCGATTTACAAGACGTATCCTCCCACTGAAAGCCAAACTTGGGATTTACAAGACGTATCCTACCTATAAGAGCCAAACTTGGGATTTACAAGACGTATCCTCTCACTAAAAGCCAAACTTGGGATTTACAAGACGTAACCTGCAAATAATAGCCAAACGTAGGATTTACAAGACGTATCTTCCCAACAAAACTTTCGATTTACAAGAAGTATTTCTTTATAGAATATGGGTGACAAACGAGCACACAGTTCACCTAATGGTAAGAGGATGTGGTGGCCCATAGACATCTACATTTATTCCCGATTAAGATTCAAAATAGAGATGCTATGTCACCCCTAAGAACTAAAATGGAATGCCTCGTATCCAGTATTAAAAAATATCCTCCCAATAAAGTCAAACTTGGGATTTACAAGACATATTCTCCCAATAAAAGCAAGCCTAAAAGGATTTACAGAGACGATCCCGATCACGTTGGCTTAGATTTTTATTTTTTTTCAATTGCTGCAACATATTTTGTTTTTATAAGTTTGGAAAATCATCAATAAAACTTATTAAAGAAAAAAAATACGTGATATAAAAATATATCTTTTTCTCCTTTCGAATAATTGTAACAAAACATAATACAAACAAAACCTAAACTGGTCAGAATAAAAAAAAATAAGCCTTAAATTACTTTTCCACGTTTTGAAAATTTCAAATCTTAATTAATAAGTACAAAACAATAATTTACCAACTTAAGTAACCGCTTAGTTAAACTGCTACGATTAAAATATCATCGATGCAAATTAAGATTTAATTTTTAACTTAAAATAGATTAACAGCAAATACCGTAAGGTAACTGTGAGATTAAAGTTAATTGTCCGATGCAAGACCTTAGTACGAAATATCTTCTAGACAATAAATTGTCTAGATTCTGAAGTAAGGCCAATAAGGAAAGATAACAAATAAAAGAGGTTGAACGCTATACTGTTGAATTAATTAAAAATAAGGTGTATAAGTACTTATATTTTTATGCTTTCAAATAACCACAAGCAAACAATAACTAATAAAACATTGATCTCGAACATTTTATCTACTTGAAATTCATAATGTCTACCGACGCGGGCCGACTTCTACAGCGAATTTATAAAATGGTTGCCCTCTGCCAAAATATTTACAATGCCGGCAATTTTCTAAACAGATTATCCAGTATTATAAGAATCACTCATAAAATATGTTACATATGTGCAAGAAAGTCATAGGTTAAGCGACACTTTGCAACAATGTATTAAAATTGATCTTTATTACTACGGGGTAATGATCAATGTCACCTGGCATACTGAACATCTGTCAGTATTTTATATATTTGTTCAAGAAATTTCGCTTTAAAAATATTCTACTCTTCTCTCATTGGATAAATTGAATCGTACTTTGGAGAGCGCCTAAATAAATAATTTTTCAATTACTTTTAAAGAGGATGTAAGCGAATCACCTAAGATATCTGTGAGTATTAAACATTTCCACGAGTTAAATCACTAGGATTTGGACGACGTATTATTAAGATACATCTGTGTGTGTTTGTGTGTGTGTTTGCGTGCAATCCTGCACGTTCATATGATGAACACGCACTGTACATTATCAATTTTTTTGTTTTATACAAAAAAAGGATGACAAGCCCCATGTGAAGGAAGGCAGATGAGTTGTAGCGTTTTGCGCAGTTGTTTCGCATTGGCCTTACTTCAGAGAAATAAATATTTTTTTTAGAAATCTAACAATTTTTTAACAAGAGCATGTGCTTTACATGCACTATTTAACTAAGTCTCACTAAATTTCTAATACCGCGATTTTTTAAACCATAAGTAAAATTATAAGCCTTCTGTTTTCTTATACAACAATAACAATTACTATTAAATAAAATGAAAATCACTTCACTGTCTAATTGCGTTGCGTTGACAGAACCATAGACATAAAGATAATGGACTGTGCGTACCGTATTCAGTTGTGTAGTGAATACAGACTGAAAAGTGCGAGAGAGACAAAGCGAATGTGCGACTAGTAGTTGTCTCTTTCTAGAATTCTGATTGGTCCACGTCACTGGCTTGCAAGAAAGAGACAGGTATTGACCGCACAGTCGCTTTGTCTCTTTCTAAAGAATGGTCACTTTTGTGAGGCTTACACTCAGTCCATCTCTCTATGTCTATGGACAGAACCATAGACAAATAATATTTTTAGTTGGTAAAAAAGAAACTGTCAATAGCTGTTAAAAATTAAATTATCTACTCGACATTGTAGGTGTCTTGCTTCTTGTCTCGTCTCCAACTGAGAAGCTCATCTAGAAGGGACTCCAGAAGTGGATTCCCACCTAGTCGTGCAACCTGTAAATAATTTAGACATTATTATTCATCGCTGCCAACGGGAATCAAGCCCGGGTTGTTAGCGTACTGTAAGATTTAAAGGCGAGCGCTTAGCCATGAAATAAAGGAGTTACAGGTTCTTCATATTCTTTAGCCTCTATTATTATAATAAATTGCATAAAAAATAATACCTCTTTTCTCGAAATCAATATTATGTACGTAAACACATTATTCTTAACTGGCTCCTTAAGCAACACGCACGCACGAACGCGTACACGCATACACACACATGCGAACGCACACACGCACACGCGCTTACATGTACATACACAAGCGTACACAAACCCGCAGACGCACACACACACGTACACGCACACGGGTACGCGCACGCACACACGTACACCTACCATAGGCACCACAAATGCTAGCTTTTTAGTTTAGCTATTACTCTAAATATAGCTTTGTGGTGAGACAGTAAACCTTATTATTACTAAAGACTGTAAAGCTCTAGATATGCTGGTATTTGGTCACATAAAGTGAACCTTACCTCTGCCCGGGCTTCGCTATCCAGGGCATGTAGTGCATCCCTTGTGTACTGGAAACTGCCGAGTCGCTCCAGTAGCGACACGCAATACCGCTTCACTTCCACGTCTCGAGTGCGCTGTCGCAATATGTCTGTACCGTTCGTTAAGGATTATTAATGTACTAAGCAGTTATGCCATGCGTAATATGTTTGCAGGAAAAATGGGTCGGCTCGACTGAAGAAGATCGTCAAAGCTCACACATAATACCAGCGTAATATAGCAGCTTAATGCTGCTATGTTACTTGTGGTGAATGACGAAAACCGGAGACCCTTTTTATTGGTAACGAGGCACTCCATGTTAGTCCTTAAGGGTGACAACGTATCTGCATTTAGATATTTAATCGAGGGTGGATGTGGAATTCTATGAGCCACAGCAATCACGAACCAGCAGGCGGGCGGACTGTGTACTCATTCCTCAATACTTTAATACCTATTCTATAAAAAAATCCAACAATTGACGGTCCAACACTGTGCGATTTACCAGAAATTTAGTTCCTCACACTACTTCTTTTTTAAGTTGGCTGCCACCAGTTATTTTTTCGGATAGATATGACTAAGGGGCCTTCAAGAAAAGAGCCTATTGCTTTTTAAAAGGCCGGCAACGTACCTGCGATCCCCCTGGTGTTACAGTTGTTCATGGGCGGCGGTAATCACTTACCATCAGGTGAGCCGTATGCTCGTTTACCCCTCTTATATATAAAAAAAAAACTTTACAAGTTTTTAACTACACCCCACTGTACGGCCATAGCTATAAAGAAACTGTGATCACAGTATTACGAGTCATTAGAATCGAAAAGGATACGGAGCACTTGGTTGTCCGCGTTCTGGTTCCTAATGGCGTGCACTATGGGGAAGCTGAATTTGCCTTCGGTTAGATCTTCGCAGTAGCTCTTGTTTTCCGAGTACTGAAAAATATTTTTTTATTTAAAAAAAAGTATATCTATCATATGGTATTCTATTAAAAAAAATAATCGACCTCTTTACAATCGAATGCCGAATTCGAATCGACAACTTAACAGCTTACAGATTAGTGGCGACGTAGGATAATCTATCGAGATGGACGTAAACGCATTATGTAAAATTCCAAAAGGGGCTTCAGAGTGATGACCCTCATCTGATATCGTATCGTATAACCATCTCGCTTACAGCTAATATTAAACACCTGTTTAGGACTGGCGGCGAGGAGCTACGCCAAAGCTGAGGGGCTTCTGGCACTACGATCATCAATTTATAATTTTTTTTTAAACGTTAAACAAAACAACTCGCAGTTTACATACGTAAATTGCACAAGGACAAAAATCCAGGCCCGGAACAATTATTTGCCAGTCATACAAATACTTGTCCCGTGCGAGATTCGAACCCGCGTCCCCCAGGGCCGCAAGTCATTGCGTCACGGAGCCTTCGATCGAATCGCATCTTTCGCTGTCCTACGAGGCTAACAGAGTTGACATTCTACAATCGTTATCGCTAATAGAAAACTATAAAAATAAATGAAATCAACGAAGAGTCACAAGAATAACACGAGAATTAACTTTTGAGATGTGTCTATGGTTTTCTACCATTCAACTATAGAAAGCAACGTGGCTAACCCCGCTGGTTATTCTACAGCTGGTTGATCAATGAACTTTAGTCGCCTCTCACAAAACCCCATTGACCAGATACTTATACGCCACCAACAAACAGCGTTTAGATATTATTATGTATATTAAATTATTTTTATAACGTAAATTAATTTCTTAAAAATTAATAAATTAAGAATTCTAAAATCACCAATAACACTATTAAGCTTCGGTGTGAGATAATTGAATATAATTACAGCTTTTAACTATATTATTGTAAACACGCTTGTTCCGCCTCTCATTTAGTACTGGAATAGTGCCAAAATGATGGAAGCTGGCCAACGTGTAACCTGTTCCAAAAAAAGGCAGCCGCGCCGATCCTGCCAATTATCGACCAATCTAAATTACCTCCATACTCTGCAAGATTATGGAGCGTATATTGAATGCCCGCTTAATGGCATACCTAGAACAGAATGACCTCCTTAGTGACCGGCAATATGGGTTTCGCCAAAATCGGTCAGCTGGGGACCTTCTAGCGTATGCCACCACGTATGGGGCGAGGCACTCGAGAACAGTGGGGAAGCACTTGCTGTTTCCCTTGATGTCTCGAAAGCCTTTGCAGAGTTTGGCACACTAGACTTTTGGGTAAGCTTCCAGCGTACGGCTTATTCCCTGGTCTGATTGAATGGGTAAAGGACTTTCTGAGTGAACGGTCTCTCCGGGTCGTCGTCGATGGCTGCTCATCCGATCCTATGGCGACTAACGCCGGTGTTCCTCAGGGTTCCGTTCTCTCCGCAACTCTCTTCCTGCTGCATATTAATGATCTGCTTATGCCCGGTATCTATGGGTATGCAAACGATATCACAGTGCTTGAGAGATACCAACCAAGTCCTGGAGCCAGTCGGGATCAAATCAAGTCCGAAAGAGAAGCTAGGTAGAGCGTGTGGATCTCGATGGGGCGATGCCAATCTTGTGAAGTTCAACGCCTCCAAAACACAAGCGTGTCTCTTCACTGCAAAAAGGAGCCAGCTCACCTTGGCTCCTTCTTTCCGAAATGTATTACTGAAATATACCGACTGCCTTCAGTTGTTAGGGTTTGAAATATCCTCAAATTTGAACTTCGGGCGGTTCATTGAGTCCGAGGCCAAAGCAGCTGCAAGGAAGCTGGGAGTTCTTACAAAGGTGCGGCGATACTTCACGCCGGGGCAGCTGCTTTCTTTATATAAAGCGCAAGTCCAGTCGTGCATGGAGTATTGTTGCCATATATGGGCTGATGCTGCAAAATGCCACCTAGCAGCTCTGGACTCAATAGAAAGGCGTGCTAAGAGGCTTATTGTTGTTGTGACCCGAATTTGGTTAAAACCAATCGTACCAGCCTCGAACACAGACGTAAAGTAGCAAGCCTTTCGGTTTTCTACAGGATGCATTTCGGAGAGTGTGCGCAGGAATTACATAATTTAATTCCCCCCTCTCCCTTCAACCATCGGACAACCAGACGTTCGGCCAGTCTCCACCCTATCGTTGTTGACTTACCACGCATTCGAACCAAACGGTTCGCCACGTCGTTCATCATGCGTACAGCAAAGGAGTGGAATAAGTTGCCAGCATCTGTCTTTCCATCCGATTACAGTGTGGGTGTCTTCAAGGAAAAAGTGAATAGGCTTTTGTTAAGTCAGTGCGCTTCACCATCTTAGGCTACATCACCACTTACCATCAGGTGGGATCGTAGATAAGCGCTGGCTTAGTAAATATAAAAAAAAAATATTTTGTGTTTAGTAATTTGTTGTTTAAAATCAAAAACTTCCATTACCTCCTGTAAGCAGAGGTTGCAATAGTCGTCTCTAATCTGGAAGTACAGGCCGAGTATGGAGGATAGCCGGCTAAAGTCCGACTTATTCTCACTGAACAGCTGCATCAATCGGATGGCCAGCATGAATAGACCCCCCGTTTCTGCGAACAAAATACGTACTTGCAATAAAGAACCAGCAGGCTTACTCTCCTAATTGATTTCAAATTGGATTCGGTATACGGTAACTATTTAAACGAAATTTTTGTTGTTGCCTTGAGGTCGTGATTTTCTTTAATCCACACAAAAAGCTCTAATAAGTAATTATTAAACTATGTCTATATGAAGTCATACTTTTAATAGTCATCTGCTTGTACTCCTCTTCGGACGGGCACTGGAAATTATCCCGCCAGTAGATCTCCATGCCTTGTCCGCGGTGCAGCTCTAACAGTTGCTCGGTATATACTGCAGTGGCCTGAAAAGAGAGAAAAATATTTAATAAATAATGAAGCACATAGTTTTAATTTCTCCGTACTTTAATTTATTTATTTATTTACTAGCTGGTAGCCGGCGCGTTGCTGCCGCAGGAGAAATAATTGTGCAAATATCGTTTTAAATTTGGAAGAGTAATATTTTTTAAATAGGAATGCAAATACATTCATTGAAATTAAATGATATATAACTTGCAAATAAATTTATCGGTACCATACGCGCGCCACCTACTGTAAGTTAATTATAATATGTCTATAATCTTCGCGGTAATATAATATTAATATGTGCAAGTAATATGTTGATAAACCTTATTTTTTTTACAAATTAAGGTTCTTCATTGTTTGATATTCAGAAATGTTATTATTAGGTGAAAATTTAATTTAATAAAAACCAAGGTTTCCAGGGTGATTTAGCTGTACCTATTTATATAAATGATTTTTTTTATAAAACAAAAAATAGTACAAAAGGTTTGTAACCTCTGCGTAAAAAAGTCACTTACTCTCAATTTCAAAGAAAACACGTGAAAAAAACACGTAGTTACCCACTAAAAACAAGTATCCTTCTGTTTGTAACTTATGTTTGATGTGAGCTAAACTTAATTAGGTCTAAACAAGTAAAAAAGCATAAAAAAAACATTACTTTTACACATGGCTGATGGCCTTGTCTGTGGCACTTGAGACGCCAGGCGTGTCGTGAAATATTTGTTCGCCGCCACAGCTAAGTTGTCGAAAATCGGTGCCGCAACGAATCGGTTAAAGACACTACCCGCATCAATAAAAATTATTATTTTAAGTTTTTACCTTATTGTCTAACTTAGGCTTAACCTACAACTTCTTGCATTTAATATCTTTAACAGTGCAAATTGTTTTTAATGTAACAAAGCTATAGCCCTCTCCTATCACTGTAAGCCAGGATCTATAATGGCTTTGTCCTTGAAAACCACCAGACAATGAAGCCCGGTGTAAAACCACCAGACAATGAAGCTTGGTAAGTAAAAGAGAAGACTTGCTGTATTGCTAAACATCAACACAACAAGTATTCTCAGCATGCTCATAAGCAACACAAAAAATCTGATCAGCATGCCTAAAAATAACTTCCCACCCTTGCTCCACATAAAGTAGGCTACTTAGCATAGTTGGTATATGCTACTCATTTTTGTTGGTATGATATTGATATGGTAAATAATACCTTAAAAGAAAGGGCAATAACTAAGCATGTTTTTAAAATGATTTGAACAAAGGCTATTTTATATATTTCTTATGATGGCATAAACACAACATTTCCTTATATTTTTTTTGTTTCTCAAACTTAAGTATGCGTAGAATGTTTTTCTGATGACGAAGATGCTTGGAAATTATATTGTTTGAGTAATCACACATTACTTAAATACAAACAAACATGTGCGAGTGTCGTGGAACACTCGGTTGGAACGAAGTTCTTTATTATTGATAAACATATTATATTATTGATTAACAAATACAAATTAATGTATTACTAGCGTCTATTAAAATAAAGCGTCATTTAAAATAAAAAACACTATGACACAAGAGGTATTGACGAAAAAATCTTATATTTATTTGTCGCCAAGCTTCCATCCGCCAAACCCGTACCGTCCGATAAGGAACTTCGTTCCAAAAAAATATAACTGTTACTGAACACTATTAGCAATTATTTAAAAAAAAAGAGGTTTTATGGTTAACAACCATAGAAATTTAATTAAAAAAAGGGACTTCGTCTAAAATAATTTTAGCTTAATATGTTCTAAATGGTTTAAGGTATCATCCCCTTCAGGCTTTGCACCCATCTTCCAAACCTCCTGTATAATTTCTCGATTTTCTTTTTTAGGGGCATTTGTTTTGTTATTCTTAATACAAAACTTAAACTTAAACCTCCCACGATGTTAAGCATTTATTTTTTTGCATTTGCTATGTAATAATTATTCTGCGATCACCATGCGATTACCACTACATAACCTTGCTGGTTGATTAAATTTAATTTTTAAATTGTAACTACTAAAAATTTGTGTTATGCTATTTGTTAAGATATTTGGCTTTAATATGTCAACATTGAAATCACCAACGATAACTATTTTATTTTTATTTTAAACATTACTTGTGTAAGATATCTTGCAATATATTTAAATTGTATCAATATATAATATAATATAATATATATAATTATTTAAATTGTGGCATTCTTTGGGGGAGGCCTATGTTCAGCAGTGGACTTGTGAAGGGCTGTAATGATGATAATGATGATGATGATGAATATCCCTAGCAGAATTTTTGACACTCGCTACATGCATATTAATTATAATGATTCCAAATTTTTCCAAATTCAACAAGCTCAATTGCACAACATTCCTCATTAGTTCATTAAATCTTCATTAATATCATAGTTCATTCAACTTCGTTACTAATGGATAAGGCTTGAACTTCGTAAATTGTGTCATATTTAATATTATAGTCTACTAAAATACAAGCTCCACCTTTTTTATTTCTTCGCAAATAACATGAGGCTAATTTAAAATTTGGTATGCATAAATGTTTGTTATCATTTTTAACCATATTGTGCTCGGTTATAGATATAACCCCAATAATTTTATTTTCATGTTTTAATTTCGATAAACACACAGCAAGTAGGTCGGATTTGTTAATAGTTCCGTTTATATTTTGATGCATGAGACACAGATTATTTTTAACTACGAAAAACTCACTGCGAGAAATTTCATGTTTGAAATTTTGCTGACGAATTATGAAATCTTGACAATAAAATAATTTCATGACTGACCTTACATAGATCATTACAACTCATAATCAATACGTGTTGTTTAATTTTTTAAACTCTAATTTTATTGTTATTTACCAACCAACTAACCTACCAACCAATCCACTATCTGCTCACTGCTATCACTGCCTATCATGGTCAGTATCGCTAAATCTTCCACAAAATCTATGCAAGTGAGGGTTAATAATGTTCCACTCACCAGATGTCGCTAGTTGTGACCGAGGAAAAGTTTTCTGTTATAGCCCGTTTACATTATCGCGCGAGCGGCGAGGCGAGTCGCTAGGCGAGCCACGAGGTGCGAATGTAAACGCTAGTTCGTGGTTCGCCTCGTCACTCGCGGCGCTCGCATCGGAGGCGGTTTTTTGAGCACGAGTCAAAGGGCCTCGCGAGGGAGGCGAGCGTGGTGTTTACACTCGCGCTCTCGTTTCGTATAAGGCGTTTCTATTAAGGCAAGAGTTGATGCCGCTATTATTTCGACGTCTTCCATCGTTGCTGGCTCAAAGCATAGATAAATAAATATGTAGCAAGCTCAACGCAAACTGAACGCATCGCGAGAGTGTAAACAGGCACTCGTTACCTCGCAACAACACGCGAGCTGCGAGGCGAGGTACGAGACGAGAGTCTAAACCCGGAGTTAGTTTTAAATAATAGTTTATCAGGTTCTAGAGTGTTATGTATATTAATACACAACACAATGCGTCAGTGATATGATTTTTATTTATTTTTTTACTTTATATCTCTTTTTTATATTTTTTTATTTTTAGTTACATTTATAGTTTGGTTTGTTTATTTTTAATCTAATTAATATAAAATATAACTAATAATACAGAATGAAACCTTTACATTTTTCTAAGAAATTATCTTTCCCGCTAATAAATCTGTCAAATGATTTACTGTAGTGGTGCCGCCCTGGTGGCTGCCCTCATTAGTGCATTCTTCATAAGGTATACGACGGATCACTCAACTTTACGAAATAAATCTATTTGATATGAAACTGGCCAATTTTAAAATGCGTTATTTTACAAATAAAAACCTATACGAGCGTTCCAACTTCAAATTCTTCTCCACTTTTTTGCGACTATAATGAAATATACGAGTAGTGTTTAATTGGAAAATGGATCTGCGTTGGGAACATTTTCGCGCTATCATTTTACTATTTCAAATGAAACCGGACAAATCGCTTGATAGACTTTAAATGACATTTATGGATTAAGGCCCTTTTAAGGCAACCGCTTACCGCTTGTATTACAAATTTCAATACGGTCGACTAACTTTAAGACACGACGAAAGTAGTGGGGGTCTTTTAGCAGCTGTTAGTAGTTAGTGAAATATTTTATTGAAAACAACAGACGAATTACGTATGAAAGATTCAGTACAGTAGATTGTATTGGGATGAGTTCACGAGATTTTACGTAAGCACCTTCTTGCGAGGAGGATAGTTTCGCAATAGGTGCCGCATAACCCCACCGACGCGACGCTCTGAAGCAGCCCCACGTAAAGTGGTGCCGTGATATGATTATACATTTCAAGCAGGCTCGTCTCGGCGTACGTACGACATTATAACACGTGATGAATCTGGAATTTATCAATACGATCCAGAACAGACGCATCATCCGATAGTTTGTCTATTTCTAAACTAAGCAACACTAAAGAAATTATAAGATTTTGATCGCTAGTTTCTTTTATCACTCTGACAGTGTGTTTTGGTGTTAATTCTTCTACTATATCGAAGTAGCATCAATGTCGAATAGTATACTACCAAATGCGTGCCAGAAGTATTCCCTGCTCTAAGCAACAAGCGGGGCTTCGTGGCCCACTTTTTCACTATGACAAATATCCCGTACATTTAGCGCTCAAACCGAGGGACTTCCACCGGTTAAGCTTTCAGATCATTTTCCATACCATGAACCATGAACCATGTGTCTCCTCTTTATTCATTAAAATTTAAAATCAGCAGAAAGGGATAGGTACAATTTTTATGATCGACGTTAGCAGAGTTCGAGCAGGCCTAGAAGTGTCTGATGTTTCCGACTGCTAAAAGTCTTCCGAAAAATGGTTCAGATACATTATTTGTAGCTACATAATGCAATTACCTTGTGGTGACGGTGTAAGAATATCCACTATCCCATGTCGTCGCGTGAATGTCGTAAAATGCGACATAGCGAGGAGGAGGGCAGCAGCGTCTTCTTAACCCAGATGTTACTGTAACTATTTTTTGTTTTCGATCTTGGTGATATTCGGATATGATAGTTAAAATGACTCATAATAACGAGGAAAAATAGTAAAAAAAATTACATGTTTTCAAAAAAGCCGGAAAAGGGTGGGCTTTTAAAAGTCCCGTCGTAATATGGGGATTGTTTACATGTATGTGGCGGTCTAATAATAAAACAAACTGTTATTACGAGTATATTAGTTTTTTATTATTACGGTAAATTTTAACTATACAAAAGAAAATAGACATAGGTATAGCAAGTTATGTGATATGATGTCTCACAATAAAACAACAGCACTTCACTAAGTATATCACATTAAAAGTCAGTAAAGTTCACTAACTTTACTGAGTTTTAGTGTGATATTCAAGGAAACAGTTCTTAGGATGTAAATGAATCTTACACTTTTGGCAAATAAAAAAACTTTTAACTTTGCAAACTTTGCATCTTAGTTGGGGAGCGCTGTACTGGACCAAGTGATCAACCCCATCATATCGAGATGATTCAAGATGAGATCTACCTGTGGGACATGGTTTTGTAGCTTTCGAGCAAACCTTTCGCCAGTAGTCTACGAAAAGTGAGATGATCATGTTCTCCACCGTCTCGCTTGTAAAGTTGCCATGCATTATGCACAGCCATATCTAAGGTGTGACAAAACAGTTAAAAATACCATTTCTTGCCACGAATAGAAGTCCGATACAACCCTATGTTTCGATCGGATCTATCGACCCCTCCCATATTTTCATTGTGTTTTCTTATAACCGACGGTTGGTCAATATGTACAAATCTTTTTAGTTCTTGCGAAAATCTCTTGACTTTTTGCAGGGGCTCCACAGTTTCAGTATTCGATGCAACAGTAACGACACTATTGTCATTCCACTTGCAAACCAAAATATTGGTAGGCAAACTGGATTTGAATACAAATGAACCTCTATCAGTATTTTTGAAATCTTTGTTAGACTCGAGAGGACACTTGGACGTTCTGTTTTCACGAATAGTTCCAGTGGCTCTTAGACCTCTATTACTAAGTTCATGCAGTAGAGGAATAGAGGAAAAATAATTGTCGAAGAATAAATGAAATGGCAATGTTGGATCACGACCTTGTAGAACATCAGCAAACTCCAAAATCACACTCCCACCTAGACCAAACTGTTTGTAACCTTCTGCAATGGTTGAAGATTTTCCCTGGTAAGGATCAAACCAAATCACGTAGCCTAATCTTGTAGCACCAACCCACAGTTTATACCCCCAACGAATTGGTTTGCCACGTATAAACTGTTTGCAACTGTGACGTCCATAGTATGGAACCATAGCCTCATCTATGCTGTAGTTCTCTTCTAGCGGAGCCATTTCAGTAAAGATTTTATTTAACTCGTCAAACAGAGGTCTGAACTTAGCGAATTTGTCAGGAGAATCACCAAGAACTGTATTATCAGAGCAATGGAGATTTGACATTATAAAAGTAAAACGATCTCTTGACATAGCGTTGTGCACAATCCTAAAGTCGGCATCTGTCGATGTCTCCCAATACATAAACCTACGGGGTACTACTACATACCCGCTGTACATAAGGATGCCCAAGAAACACTTCATTTCAGAAACAGTTACTTTGCCTACTTTATTCCTCTGTCCTGCATACAAATTGGTATATCGCACTAGTAATTCAATAACATTGTTGTTGAACAAGCAGTCGAAATAATATAAGGGTGATAGGTTTATAAGATAGGGTGGTAAGTTTTTTGGACCTTGTTCGTCATTCCATTGATTGAAATGGTTTGGAATATGACGATTCTTCCATCTATAGGTTTGGTTTCGGGGAACTGTAGGCTGAACAAATGTAGAATTAGTTGACACATCTGAAGTACAAGAAGGTACGGCGTCACTATCTTCTAAAGTCAAATCCATCGTGCGTCTACTTTTTGACAAACTTGACAAAGGTACATCATCTTCTTCGTCGGAACTCATATGAAAAGTGACCTCGGCTGGAGCTCGTAGTTGAGAGCCTATAAAAACACATATAAACATTGCAACCATATAAATAAAACAAGATACGTAGTTATATCAACCCGAAAACAAATATTTTACCTGGTAGATTTTGCAATGCAACAAATTCTTCATCTCCAGAATCCTCATCTGTGACGTCGGCATTAGCGTTCTCAGGTGGAAAAATTGTAATTTGAGTTGGCAACAAATCATCATCCTCACATCGCTCTAATTCATCAACTATATCGTTGAGAGTGAGTGCTCTCAAAGGTCACGTGCTAAAAAGAAAACAATAATATTATAGACCCCCATATTGCGACGGGACTTTTAAAAGGCCATCAATTTGAAACGTGAAAAAGGAATGAGTTTTTGTTGCACCAAAACAAATAGATAACCTGATATTGTAGATAATATATCTAAAATTAAATATCAAAATGTATTAGCAACAACATCCAGATATATAAATGATAAAAGCTTACCTTTGTCCAGACATCATGACACTAATACTCCTAAGTCTTCAATGACACAAAAACTTTAAATAAACAAGTGTCCAGTTGTAAACAACACCGCATGAAATCATACACGGATAGGTACTAAGTAACCTGACAGTGCAAATATCTTAGAGAATTCATTTTAACAACTCGAAACTTGAGGGTATTTTTAATAATTTTTTCGGGTCTTTTAAAAGCCCCGTCGCAGTATCTGGGTTAATAACAACTAAAAATAAAAAACTGAGATGCTACTCCCACCCCCCACCTCCTTTAGACGCAATGTATGGTATTATGTTTGAGGATTTGAAGACATTAGATAGACTGTTTTACATTACAAAATGCTTAATTGCATCACGGCACACACACACATGCAATGTTTATAATCCGAATCCGCATTTTGCAACAGTGTAATAACTACGGCGCAGATATTAAATAATAACATAAATTTAATTAGCTATAATTACATTGCGTTGTTATATATGAAACTTGACAGCTATGACTGTAATAAAAAATAAAATCCTTGACCTTGCCACACGTCATATTTAACCTGACCTTAAACACATCACAACCTTCACTCGAAGACTATATGATATTATGTTTATGAAAGATTTAATAATAAAAACTTGAACTATGGAACTTTACTTTTATTTATGCAAAGTTTCTCAGTCATGCCCACGTTCACGTAAATAAACATGTGGACTTAAACAGGCTTTAGAAAAGGAAGAAGAGTTATAATATTTTTTTATTGTGACTTTTTGTTACCACGTATGTACATACAACTGCAAAGTTACAGCCTAAATATGTCTCACTCCCGCTATTGAACATGGGACTCGCCTAATTTCTGAGAACTTTATAAACCAATTAGTCCACTGCGCTGATCCAATTTTTTATAGAATAAGGGTGATAAACGAGCACACAGTCCACCTGATGGTAAGTGGATACTAGGGCCCATAGATATAGATCTACATTTATCCTCGATTAAGAAAAAACATACAGATGCGTTGTCACTCCTGAAAACTACGATGGAATGCCTTGTTTCCAGTTAAAAGCGTCTCCGGTTCTCTACACTCATCATACGAAACATAGCAGCATTAATTATTTCACGGAGATATTCTGTGAGAGCGTGGTGCTACCCCGGACAAGCTGCCCCGTTCGTGCTACAACTATAATATAGCGGCATAGCTCTACCACGTCGTCTACCAACGACTGTTGGCAGACATTACATGTTCTGGAAACTTTTTATTTCTCAGTCTTTTAGATTTACTCACGATGTTTTCCTTCACCGCCGAGCAAATTAAAGCAAGTAAATTAAAGATAAAGCAAAGGTAAATTAGCACTTAAAATTGCAATTAACAATTTTATTGGTGCCGGCGTGGATCGAATTCGGAGCGTCGAGAGAAGATATAAGAAAAAATCGAATAAAAAATTCATAAAAATTTAGTTGAGCAACAGCAAAACGTGCGAACAAGTAATTTAAAGATTATAAAGTTAATTACCAACGGATGTTGCAACTCCAAGGTTTTCTCAAGAGCGATAATCATCGCGTAGTTGGCTGCGTTGATGGTGCTCGCTATGCCATAGATAGAGTGCGCCACGGGGATGCCCCGCCGCAGAATCGAGTTGTCTTGAATGTCGTCCACTCTAAACGAAAAGAGACAATAGAAATCTTTACATTACACTAACAGATGCTGTAATGATGATGATGATCAGTTGTCTCCGTCGCTAAAAATAAAGTTATCATCAGTTGTAGACAGATACGTGGTAGAGCCACGCTGCAGTTTTATTATGAATATAGCACGAATGAGTCGGCTCGACCGGGGTAGGCCCACGCTCTCACAGAATACCAGCGTAAAGTAGCAGCTTAATACTGCCGTGTTTCTTATGGTGATTGTAGAGAATCGGAGACCCTAATTACTGGATTCCACCTTAGTCCTCAGGGGCGAAAACAAATTTGCATTTTGATTCTTAATTCTAATCTTCTAATATAATAAAGCGGAAGAGTTTTTTTATTTGTTCAAACGCACTAATCTCTGGATCTACCAGTCCGATTTGAAAAATTCTTTTTGTATATTATAGCCAGATTCGTGAGTAATAGTATAGGCTATCTAGCAGGACGCTACTAAATATTGATTTTTGTTAACCCGTCAAGCACCTGGCCATTTTATTTTTTTACACGCTAAACGTCCGGGCCTGTAAGGAAGGTCGCCCGATACTGGCAGGTGCTAATGTAAACAATGATACCTTTCTAATTTTGTATGCCAGGTACATATAGAATTTAAACGTATCGGATCGCTATGAATTGAGCTATTTAATTGTATATAAATCGGTGCAATTCTACATTTATACATATTATAATCAATCTCATTTGATAATTGTGCGACAAAATTGTGCGAACGACACATAAACGCTAGCCGCCCGATGAGAACCGAGAGAAATCAGCAGTGGACGCTTCTATTAGTTCAAACATTCTAGCTAGCAATGTATGGAAAAATTTGCAAAATTAATGAAGTACTTTTATCTATCAGCATATGTACTGTGTAATTTTATCCATTCTCTTTCCCCCTCCCGGGTGAGCGCTCCAGAAAATATCCTGAATCGCGGTTTTCCCACTTTTAAAGAAAACCATATATGATACATAGGAGGAATAGATTATTACTCTTTTTAAAGAGCATATTCTATTCTTTACTTTAGTCGTACGGTAACTTGGTGGTAAAGTGGGAAATTTTAGAGAAAACTAAACTTTGAACAAAAAAATCGATAAATGATAAAAATGTTTAATTTCGTGGCAGATTGAACTATAAGTTATATCGCTTTTATATGTATAAGCGGTTGCTAGCAAATTTATCAAGAATCATTTCGTACCTACACACTTTTCATGTATCGTGTACGGTTTTCTTTAAAACTGAAAAAAACCGGGTTTTTTTTTAAAAAAACTGAAAGACTTTTTCTGGGACGTAACGCCCACCCGGGAGGAGGAGGGAAAGTGGATAAAATTTTACTTTGCTCTATATTGCGTATGTTACGTCGAACTTGTCGAAGGTGATTTGACGCCGTGTCAAATGACCATTTTTGGGCCTAAACAGCGTACATATGCCGATAGATAAAAGTAGTCCATTAATCTTACCATTTTTTTAGCTAAATGATGGGATGGATTGGCTCGACCGGGGTAGGACCACGCTCTCACAGAATACCAGCGTGAACTACCAGCTTAATGCTGCTGTGCTTCGTATGATGAGTGTAGAGAACCGGGGACCCTTTTTACTGGAAACTAGGCATTTCATCATAGTCCTCACGGGTGACGACGCATCTGCCTTTTGAATCTTAATCGAGAATAAATGTAGATGTATATGGATCACAGCAACCACTTACCAATCAGGTGGACTGTGTAATCATTTGTCACCCTTATTCTATAAAAAAAAGATTAGGACGATTTAGTGCAACTGTTTGCGAGTATTATTGTTGCACACATGGGAATGGGGTGATGAATTCTCTTAAACCGAAATAGGTTAAAAGGTGGTTGGCTGGTTGGTATATATCCAGACGGACTTATAGTGGTGCCTATTTAGTTAAACGCATACTCAAAACGCTGGCCACTGGTTGGATAATTTATATCAGACGTATTTGAAAAAACATTTGTCAATCTCGGTTTTAAATCGTTTTTTTATTTATAAATAATATACAATTAAAAAAATATTAAAAACATAAAAAATCAATGACTTTTTTTTTCCTCAAGTGAAAAAAAAAAATTATCAATTGAATGTTAGTCGTGAAAATGTTTAATAAACACGTTCGCTGTGTATTTGCTTTGACCTCTATACATGTCATAGCTTCGGTTGGCTGCAACTCAATGTATTCATCAGGGTTCCAGTGTATCGCCGCTTTTTTGTTTTATAAACTTTCAAATTGAATCCGACGTAAAATTAAAACTGTAGAACTACAGAAATGCGTCATAAAAGTCGTATTGTTATCAACCTTTTATTAAGTGGCAAACGAACAATATTACTTGACAGTTAGTTACGTTAATAGCTATAACGTAGCTATTAAGCCCATGCATATATGTAATTAACTTCAAACAAGGAAGGCCATAAATGCATTGTTAATCTTGAGAAATGCAATACGTGGTACGCTGTATGCCCAGTGTATTATGACTGCACAACAAATGGATCGGCTCGACCGAGGAACGACCATGTTTGCACAGAATACCAGCGTAAAATAGCAGCATAATACTGTTGTGTTTCGTAAGGTGAGTCTTAACCGGAGACGCTTTCTACTTGTAACATTTTTTTGTATTCTATCTTCTTCAGTGTGATAACGCATTTGTGTTTTGATTCATATCAAGAATATATGTAGGTGTCTATGGACCATAAACCGGGTATAGGCACGATATAGGCTTCCAAATATTTAAAAATTTTGACGTTGTTCTGCCCTTGTAGTTTGTAAGTGGCGCATTGCATGGCGCTATTGTATATACATATACACATACATAGATTTATATACTTAAATACATACAATATATACATATATAAATACATACATACACATATACATGCATAGACTACATATATACACAATACATATAAATATTATATATGTCAGAACAAATATGAAATATAAGTAGTGTAGTTGTACCACTTCTAGACCACCTGAGTCAGACGTGGTTCAACGACGTTCGTCGACTCACAATCAAAAAAAAAAAAAAAAGGTTTTGGCATGCTTTGATCACGAATCCGCGGTCCATTTTTGTGTAGAATGCACGGTTCCGGAGATGTGTAGATTAGCTAATATCTAATTGATATCCGGTAAGGGCCTCCACCGTCATTAGCGTCCCATTGTTCCTATTTCTATTGTTCTATTGTTCATTAATCACCTTCATTGCAGCGTGTGCGTCGACTATATCAGTGCTATTGTATTGTACTTCTTTGTTCCTAATTATACAACGCTAATCTGAATCATCAATAAAACACATTACATAATTTTGTTACAATTTTTATTTATAAAATACAAAATCTTATTACTTATTATCTATAAAATAGGAGCGAAACATCTCATCCACTAAAATATCGTTGTACAATGTGTTCCTTGTAAATATACTCGTAAAACTATGTATTGAACATCCTTGAAACTTATATAGCAAATACATTAAGCAATATTCGCCACAAACTGAAGTCCACTCATTCTGAATCCTATCAACATTCCAGTTCCATCTTTTACAATTCCTTTTTAAAAACTCTAGATGATATCGTACAGGTGATCGTCCATATGAATCAAAATATTGACCGACGTCTTTCGTATCGATATATAAAGCTACCCAATGTGACCCTGGTTTATCATCTGTATCCAAATTACATATTATATACGTTGGTACGTGGGTATACATAGGCAGTCTATTAGCTGCATAAACATTATTTTCTAGACTGGGGTGAATCTTTTTCAGATGTTGTTGCACATCTAGTGTATCCATGATATTACTGCTATTAGTACATTATTACAGTACCAATCTACTCAATGAATAACATAGGAATGGTCAATTATAGTGATTTCTAAATATTAAATTGCATTTTTGTGTTATACAAATCGTACTTGAGTCATTGATCACCAAACAAAACACAATACGAAGAAATGTTGAGATAGACAACGGAAATGTGAGATAAACTGGTTGACGCATAAAGTAATTATCAACTCATTACGGAAATACTTTAGATTAGAATTTTTACGTACTGGTGGTATATAAGACCAACAGACGCAGTCATCGAGTTAGTGTACGGTCGTTTGACTACAGTGGATCTATCAATAGTACATTTGTGTTACTTCAATACACCAAAGGCTGTGGATGTAAGTGTTTATTCTATTGACTAAATTACTTTTTTTCTGTTATTTTCATGTGTGTGTATTATTTTATTTAAATATTGTGTATGTATATGATTAAGCCGTGGTAACTCAGATGGTTAGCGCTAGCTGTAAATTTCACAGTACGCGACCCGGGTTCGATCCCCGCCAGCACCAATTAAATTGTTAATCGCAATTTTAAGTGCTTATTACCACGTGCTTGGTGGTGAAGGAAAACATCGTGAGGAAACCTGCATGTCTGAGAAAATTTCGAAGGCATGTGAAGTTCGCCAACACACATTGAGGGAGCGCGGCGGACATTTCCTTGCTCTAAAACCCTCTCAGAAATGAGAGGAGGCCTATGTTCAGCAGTGGACTTTAATAGGCTGTAACTTTAACTTTTTTAACTTTTATGATTAAGTGTTAACAAATTGATATTAACATGATAACTGTGTTGTTGCAGAAATCATTGAGCTTCGATGAAGATACCTATAAACAGTATTACTACTCGCCACTCTCCCCTCAAGAAGAGAGTGATAACCTCGTCATAAATAATAATACATGCGATGGTGGAAAAAGAAAATCGCAATCGATTGATCATTTTTTTGAAGCTGAATCAAAAATAAAAAAGAGGAAGGGAAAACTTCAGTGAAGTGTGCACCAGTGCTTTTTTCTCCACAATCATGGAAGAGAATACGGAACTATTCAATAGCGAATTAAATCAGGAGTTGTCTAAAGTTTGTGAAGAAATGGAGAGGGGTCAACTGTTCGATTCGTCATACGATGATGAGTTGTATCATCACTGTGCGATGGTT